AGTGAGGGTTTTTCCTCCTGATAGTTTGTAATTTTGGTTCCACTGCTGACCTCAAGAATTCGGTTGCAAGTGTGCGTGGGTCCATCGCGACAGCCGCTGCACCAGCCCGTGACCAGCCCTTAGCCCCTTAGCTGCGGACGTCCCGAAGCCCGATTAGGCCCTGGGGGAGATGATGGTAGAGTCCAGGAAAGTGAATTTCACTGCATTCTTTAAAAACTCACCAGATTTAAGTTTTGCACACTTTTGAAAGGTCCCCCTGCCTCCAGGAACAATTCTTCTGTAACTGTCGCGTGGAGATGGTACTCGGAAGGGGCCCTCTGATGCCTCTTTCTCCCTCTTCTCCCATCGTACGTGACAGTTCCCTGGGAATCGGGCTGTTCCCCCCCACACACACCCTGCCCCCGTTGGGCCAGGTGGCATTTGCCAGGCTGGTGCTCTAAGACAGTATCATTCCAAGTGTTGCACTAAGGATCAAAGCACATGCCAGGCAGATGTGGGTGACATCGTGCACATTGGCTTAACGTGGGACGGTTTCCCGGAGTGGCTCCAGGAAACATTTGGTACAGATCGAGATCGCCTGTCCCCAGATGCCTTCTTGGTTTCTGCGGAGCCAAATATGATTAGAGACAGAGGATGCTGGGTTTGGAGAGCGGGTTTCTGTGGCCACATGTGGGCATTCAGACCCGCGGAATGCCATTAAAGTGGCATCAGGCTGTCCCGTACCCCGCACGGGCCAGAGGGCTCCAGATCGCCAGCCCCCCGTTTCTAAGGTGTTGGGGTTTGGGCAAGCAGGCTTTTATTTTCATTATTATTTATCTTTTTTCTTGGCATCATCTTCCGTGTCCTCTGCACAGAATGTTTCAGGATGTCATCTGAGGACTGCGACCCCTCCCAGAGAAGGGCCACGTTCAGAGCTGGGCTCCGCTCAGCTTTCCGCTCTGTATAAGGCAACCCGTACTCTTTGCCTGCCACGAAGGGATCTGGTGAGGATTAAATGAGATAATGCAGGAGGATTATCTAGCCTGGGCCTGGCCCCCGCCCTGGAAGCACACAAGAAGGTCAGCTCGAACAGTTATCAGCAGCCATTCTGCACGCACGGCCTTCTCCATGTTCTCCCCGGGAGCGCACGTGTGACAGAGGGAGGGAGGTCGTCTGGATCGCTCTCCTCCCTGTGTGACCAGGCAGTTGGATAGACCCTGCTCTTCTGTCTTGGGAGTTCAACGGGGATGTCAGCTCCTCAGAGGACAGCAAGGGAGACTCACATTGTATTTCTGAACTGTCACATAGTTCTGCAGTGTATCTCTCTCTCTCTTTCTCTTTTTTGGTAATGGGGACTGAACCCAGGGTTGCTTAACCCCTTAGTCACATTCCAAGCCCTTTTAATTTTTTATTTTGACACAGTTTCTTAGGTTTTCTCCAAGTTGCCAAGGCTGGCTTCAAACTTACAGTCCACCAGCCTGAGCCTCCCGAGTCCCTGGGATTAGAGGTGTGTGCCACCACCCTGGCCTCCGGCATATCTCATTTAATCATAATGTATTGAGGCCATGTCTCAGCCCTCCTGTCCACTGGAAGTAACGTCCTCTCTTCAGTCCTACCCCTACTCCAGGAAACTCCCCAGGGCCAATCTCTGCTTTCCATTTTTATAGAATGACCTTGTTCCTCGCCCACAGCTTAGAAGCTGAATGTGATTGCAGTAGCTTTAAGTAAAATCATCAACTTCCATTTGGCAAACCTGACGTGGTCCCTACTCTGCGCGGGCCACCAGGCCTGGAGACCGGGGCATTCTGAGCTCACAGCTGCAGAACACTTTGAAGGTCAAGGTGCTGCAGTGGTTTGGGACTCTGGGGCCACACAGCCTGGGTTTGCATCCCTCCACCTCTTCCTGTCTGTGTGAGCTCAGGCAAGTGGCTGTACCTCTCTGAGCCTCCGTGTCCTGATTTCTGAGATGGAAGGAAGTGAAGTTATGCGCGTCTCTTGCTTCCTGTGGAACATAGAAGTCATCCCAGAGGTGCACAGGGAGGGTCCAGCCGCTCACAGGCGGAGAGGGAAACGGAGTTGGTGAGAGACGGTCAGGCCCTGGCCAGAGGGCACTGGGCTTTTAGCGCACTGGACTCCCTCCTGCCTAGGCTGGACACTGGCACATAGTAGGGCCTTTGTAAATGCTGGTGGAATGAATCGTGAAGACTCCTGAGGTCCCGTCCTGTAGGGTCGTTGACCTCCCCAGCTCTGAGGCTGGACTTGGGTGCACTGACCCACAGCCGCCTGCAGTCAGGGGCAGGGCCTGGCACAGCCCGGGCCCGCGTCCTGTGGCTGCTTCCTCTTTTAAAACTTTCTTTGTGGTAGAGAAGGCGTGGAGGTGCCGGGCTCTGCGGGGACTGTGCCTTGGAAGGAGAAGTTTCCGGAAGGTCAGGTATGGTTCCCTGAGCTTGGCCTGGGCTTCTGGGGGCGCCCCTCTGGCCCTGCCCTTCCTTCCACTCCAGGGTCCGTGTGGCAAGTTGGCGTTGGTGAGTCTGGTGCGTCACTCCAGGGCAGGTCCCAGGTGCTGCAGGTGTCCCCAGCCCTCGAGTTGGGCCCCTGCCTCGGGTCAGGTGGCGCCAGGCGGGACCCTGGCGTCTTCCCCAGAGGAATCCCAGGGCATCGCCCGACTGCCTGAGTCAGGGGCCCGTCCAGCGCTGTGGGGAGAGCAGCTGGGACAGACCCAGGCCACGCAGCGCTGAGCACCTACTGTGTGCCGCCTGGGCTCGGGCAGCCCATTCATCTGCATAAATAGCCACATGGGCATCACCAGGTCACCAATTCCATTTTATAAGATGATTAACCCCAGGGCTCCAGAGAACCAGCTTCCGTAGGGTCCCTAACCCAGATCTTTTGTGTCACCCCACCCCCCCACGTTTTTTTCCTTCTGAATCTCCCTCTTTATGATGCCTTTGTTTTCAGAAATTGAAGAAATGCACTTACTGTTGGACACTTAATATTGGAAAGCACTGTGGATGGACCTCCATGGCCAGAAAGAAAGGGGGGGGGGTCTTGGAAGGGAATCCCTGGAGCCCCGGGAGTGTGATGACGTGCTGTCCCCTCTCCTTTGAGGCTGGGAGATGCCTCGTTCCAGGATGTGCCCAGAATAACGTTCACCCGAACACCGCTTGACATTGACGGTGACGGAGACAGTCCAACCCCAGCTGGGGCCGGGAGGAGGAGGGCTGCGAGCCAGGGCAGGCCACCGCAGGACTGTCCACTTCGATAAAGCCCCGGCTTAGAAAACCCCAAACACGCTAAAGTGGATACTGTGTTGGGATTTACGCCATGCTCTGTGAGGGGCAGCCCCAGCCCCATAAATACATGTCCGAAATCCAAATGGAATGTTAAGGGCGCCAAATGGAGTTCTCAAAAGGACCGGAGCTAAGATGTAGTTTGCTGGCCCTTGATAAGCTCAGCCGCGCTTGCACTGGGGGAGACGGGGGGAAAGAGAGAGAGAGAGAGAAAAGAAATGGAGTTCAGATTTTACTGTATTCTCCAGTATCTTAAGATATTTTCTTTTTTTCAATGAAAAGAGAGGAAGAGATTACCAGGCCTCTGGGTGTGAAGCTAGTTCTCATCTAGACACCTCTGCGGGGACAAAGGGATGCTGTCACCCACCAGCTAGAGCCCAGTCCAGGCCCCGGCTATAGCTGGTGGGCGTGGCCACCCGGCCAGCACCCCGAGAACCAGGGCTGCTGTCCTTCCCCGGGTCCCAACCCCCAGTTCTGCCCTGGACTTTGAGCTGGCTGCCGCCTGCGAGTGTGTTTGTAGGGGGGGGGGGCGGCTGAGGGCAGAAGGCCATGGGGTTGGGTCCCTCCCGACCCTGCCTGGGGCCTGGGGGCTCTGTGCTTTCCCAGCGTCTGGAAATACTGTTCTTCCGATGGAAGGGCTTTGTGACAGGTCCCAGTTCCTTCAGATTCTCTTGGCCCACTTCGAAGCAAGCTGAAGCTCAATCCTCAGGGTTTCCATTTACTTCCAGGCACCGGGAGGGACTTCTGGCTTCAGAGAGTCCCCGATCAGGGTGTCCACAGGCTTCCCAAAGCGTGCCACCCTGGAGAGCTTGGCTCTCAGCGAGGCAGGTTCCAGTGCCGCCAACGGTCAGGCCTCTGTCCCCTCCCTCCTGCTTCCCCTGGGGGTCAGGCCTTCGAAAGCTGGAGGCTGGGACTGGACTGGAGCTAATCATTGGGTCTCGAAGGCACCTTTGAGGGCAGAGCCCTCCGCCCTCCTGGTGCCCTGATGGAGCCAGCATCACTGTCAGAGTCACAGCTGGGCCCTGCGGCATCTTCTCGTCCCTGGACGAGACAGTTATCTCCAGAGGACTTGCTGCGGCCTCACCTGGACCGACCACCTGTCTTTGGGTGTGTTGCGCTCAGGCCTCCTGAGTTACCTAAGAGCTGGGGGAAGTGAAATGTGAAAAAGAAAAAGCAATGGAAACCTTTCATTTTTTTTCCCCTGAAAAACTATAATAGCAAATTTATGGATTTGAACACGAAAAAAAAATTATATATTTCAGTAACAAAAATTTATACCTTTTAAGGGTTCTATCCAGGGAAGGTTAGGGAATCGACTGAGCTGTGGAACCATCTCCGTAATCTAGTTTTAGATTCCCTGTGTGTGCTGGAGTCATTTCCCAGGCCCCCGGTCATCTGCTGTGGGTGAAGGTCCTGTTCTGGACTTTACATATAAATGGAAGCGTCTGGCTCCTCTCACTTAGCGTGATGTTTTGTAGGTCAGGGCACATCCCACTGTCAGGGCACGCCATATTGGATCGATCCACTCACCATTTGATGGATGTTCGGGCTGTCCACTCTCTGGCTTCTGTGAGCCTACGCACAGGAGTTTATGCATGGACTGGTCTTCGTTTCTCTTGGGTGGGTTCCAGGGACAGGACTTATCGGGTCATATGGCAAATGTATATAGAACTTTTTTTAAAAAAAATCATCAAACTGTTTTCCAAAGTGGCGATATCATTCCACCAACAGTGTATAAAGTGGACCCTTCCATCATTTTTGATCCTTCCGTAAGCTGAATGGTGAAGAGATTTACTAGAGACTTCTGCATGTGAAATCCAAACATGGGACCCTGCCTGTGGGGAAACTGACACCCTGCAAGAGCGTCAACTTCGGTTCTGATGTGAGCTTCCCCAGCATGCTCCAGAGCTCTCAGACCCCACAGGGATCTGGACCGGGGCTCCTTCTCCCCCCCCCCTGGCTGGTCTCGCCAGCCACACTCCCCTGCAGACTGTCACATTCCAAAGAGGATTCACTTTTACCACAAGTGCCCTGGGTCACACTGTTGCTAATTTAGCGACTGTTATTGGACAATGTGATTCACCCTCCACGGCCTGCCTTCAGATGGATTCATTACCTGCATTGATTGCTCTCTGTTGCTGTTCACCGCTTGCCAGCCAAGGCACAGCCCTGCTTAAAAAACCGGGTAGCGTTTTGCCTTCTGATAATGATACAGAACTCCCTCCTCCATCGCCAATGACATGGTATTCCACTTTTTGAAGATGGACTTAAATTGCATAACTCCTTTTCCATGGTGATGAGAAAATAAATTACTTTTCTCTATTGCTATTCGGCTAAGTGCTTCTTAAATTGGGGTTTGGGTAGGTTTAGAAACTTTTTAGGTTTTTTTCCTGCTTCTTTTCTTTCTTCCATGTTTTCTCTGGATACTCCAGGTGAGCTCCTTGGACCCGCGGCCTGGGCATCCTCCAAGAATTCGTTAGCGATGCCCAAGCTCAGGCCCCGCCCCAGACCTGCCAACCAGCCTGCGCTTTAACAAGACCCCGGGGTGTCGTACCTACACGTGGAAGTCTGAGGCGCTCTGCCTGAACCAGGGGGCAGCAGAATGAGCTCCCCAGGGCTACCTCTAGCCAGCTGCCTGTCTTTACAAATAAAGTTTTATTGGAACCCAGCCACGCCCTTTAGTTTCTCTGTTTTCTGTGGCTACCCGGCCCTGCAGGTGGAGGAGGCAGCAGATGCCGCAGGGACCTCACAGCCTGCGGAGCCCAGAGTGACACTGGTGTACCTTGCTGGCAAACATCTGCCCGCCTCTGCTCTGGAGGTGCCTTTATTTCTGTTTACCTAGGTATTTTAGTGGGTTTAATTGGTTAGCTTTTTCTTCTTGAACTCTGCCCATTTATCACCCTAGACTTTTTTTTTTTTTTATCATGTCAATCAATAATCCTGGAGAGCGACGAGGTACACAGCATTAACGCCGTGGGCAGTATTAGGAGTAATCTGGGATATTCGGGGGTGCGGGAGGATGCTCTTCAGGTCATCTGCAGATACTGCAGCTATTTTTGGTAAGGGACCTGAGCCGCTGCGGATTTCGGTTTTCAAGGAAGGTCCCGGGACCAGGGCCCGCCAGGTACCGAGGGGTGACGGAGCCGGGCTGTGACTCTGTCTGCATCTCTCTAGCCAATCATGGGAACTGACCACGTGCCTGCGGAAGCCAGGAAGCCCCACTGTCTGCCACCTGCTAGCTGGAGACCCAGGGACGCTGGTCCCCGTCCCAAGGCCTGGGGACCAGGGGCGCCAATGCTGTCATTCCCAGTGCAGGGCTGGGGAAGGTGGCTGGGAAAGGCAGATTCCCGGTTCCTGCCCCGTCACACCGGGGAGGGCCACCCACATTACTGAGCCCCCCTCCCGTGCTCACCTCACAGACACACTCAGAGATGGGGTTTCATTGGGCCCCCGGCCCCCCAGCACCCAGTACCCCCGGCCCCCCAGCACCCAGTTGTATTTTGCACTGGGCCCCATGACGATGGGAACAGAAGCCAAGTTCTCGTGGCCTCCACTCAGCCTACGGTGATTGTCCCATGCGGTGACTTTGTGGCTTCTGTTCTTCTTGTCACCAGCCCAGCAGTGACTGTCTTCCTGTCCCCTTGCTTTGCTCATGCCGAGGGGAGAAAGGCCACTCTGTAATGATTTCTTGAATGAAGCTCTCAGAGACGAGGGCGGAGGGGGTTTCAAAGTGAATTTGGGATCCGCGGCCCTAGGTGACGGTTTTGATCCCCACGATGACGTGCCGCTAATTGCTTTCAGGTGGCGGCACGTTGCCCTTTCCTCCTGCAGAGTCAAAGTGAGAGGTGGCGCTTTTCTAAGAGGGATGCTCCCTGAAAACACGGGGAGGTTGCAGGTCCCCAGGGGCTTTGGAGCCAGCTGGCGGGAGCCACAGGCCACTCTGGAAGCTTCTGATTGTCCGACTTCTCCCCTGGTCCCTGCAGGGAGGGACTGCAGCCAGTGACCCTGTAGGTAGCTGATTGAGTCTGAAATAGCTGCCTCCCCGCCCAGCAGGGACCGGAGTCAGGAACATTGGCTGCCATTTCTTTCCTCCTCCTCTTGGAGAGATTGTTAATCAGGAACCTTCTGGAAACAAAAAAATAGAAAGTCAAAAACGAGACCTGGTTTGCTGGACCCGATGGAAAACCACCACCCTGCCCAGCGGTGCCCAAAGGCCCCGGGTAGCAAGAGGACCTCGGGGTGACCGGTGGGGGGCTGCCCAGGTCTCAGATGCTCAGATGCATAACAGCAGGAGATACTTCCAGAACTTGGTGAGAGGTCAAAGGACACCTTCTGTACACACTGATGACTGTATTTAATTATGCCTCTGTCATCAGAGCCCAGGTTATTCACTGAGCATGTGCATGTGTGTGTCGGGACTGGGGCCAAATCACATCCATCTCTTAACTCTTCCCTCAGCCCCGTGTGGTGTGACCGGCTTCTTTTCACAAAGGAGGAGTCCAAGGTTCTCAGGGTTCACTGGCAGGAACACCAGCTGAGAAGTGGCAGGGCCAGGCTGCAATTCTGTCCGACCCCAGAGCAGATGCTGGGACCCGCCCCCCCCCCCCCCCAGCTGCCCTGGCTGACCCCCTTGAAAATGACCATGGACCCACCCAGCACTAGGGCGTCAGGAGTTGACCTTGGGTTGGAATGAACAGGGTTCCAGTAGCTTTGAGATCTCACCATCATTTCCCGGAGCGTAGCTGTGACGATTTCAGGTGGTAGACAGGTGAACATTAAAAAAAAAAATGTATTTATTGTGTTTAAAGGAAATATGCATTGCGTGTCTATTAAACCTGTGATTTCAAAGTGAACTCGCAGTTCTTTTCCAAGCACGAATGTAAGAAAAGAAACAGCGAGTCTTTTTAAATAAAAATAATGGTGTGGGTGAAGACGGGGTGGGGCTTGCCGTGCAGCGATTCTAGAAGAAACCTCTGGCCTGAGCATTGGACAGCCCGGCGCAGGGATGGGGTGGGCGGGAGACACGTGAGCAGCCAAGCTGGGGGTGCCAGCCGGCGAGGCTCCACCTCCTGTGTCCATCATGGGGCCTAATCACACCCACAACTGCACCGGCCTTCTCTTTGACTCTGAGTTCTCCAAGCCTGAACCTGCCCCAGGGCCTTTGCACCCACTCTTCTTTCTTTTTGGAACTCTTTACCCCAGATATTTGCATAACTGACACCTTCTTATTTCTCTGACCGCCTTCTGAAAGTGACCTTCTCTGTCTACCCTATTTAAAGTCCCACTCCCTGTGCCAGACGTCTGCAGATGCACCCTATGAAGCGCCAGATAGTGATTATTTGAGGCACGCGGGCCGTAGGGTGTCTGTCGTAGCTACTCGGCTCTGCCATTGGTGCTCAAAAGTCTCCACAGACAATCTGAAAAGAGCGTCCCTGGCTGTGTTTCAATATAACTTTATTTACAAAACCACGTGGACCCGCTGGCCGTGTGGGCCACTCCCTGCTCTGGGCAAGGGCCTCCTTCCATCGCAGCCGCAGCCTTCAGCCCACCTAAGGAACCTGTGTGCCCGACTCCGCCTCCTTGCAGTTAGGGGGACCCTCCAGGAGGCAGGGATGTCCACTTCTCGTTTAGGGGCACCGGAGGCCTGGGCTGCAGGTCCACTCCGTGGACATCCATGAGCCACGGGCCCCAGGCCCTGGGGCTGCACTGCGCATGCGCTCCTTCCTCACCTGGGCGGGGCCGGAGGGGCGGAGCTCGGGGTGACCCACCTGGAGGCCAGGAGCAGGTGCCCGGCCGCAGGGTCCGCAGGAGGCCGGAGAGCAGGCCTCGCAGGGCTGTCGCAGGGCTGTCGCAGGGGCAGCACAGCCTGGGCCTCGCCGTGTCGGGAGGACCTGCTGCAACTCTGGGTGGAGAAGAAGGCGCCCTGGACCCGGGGAGCAGCCCCGACGGGCTGTGGGGAGACCAGGGCTGCGGCCACCGGCCACGGCAGCAGGTCGCTGGGAGCTGGGGACCCGCTGGGTTGGCCTCCTGAGACCCGTGAGCAGAGGGTCTTCCCTGGGGTCTGGCCGGGGGTCCCTTCTCTGGGACTGAACGGTCGTGTCGCTGCCGGTCATCGGAGGGGAGCTGCCTGGTGACCCTGCAGCCGTGGTCCCGGAGGAACGGCCTCTTGGGTCCTCAGCTGTGGAGATGCTGGGGGTGAGCATGGCGCTGCCTCCGCCCGCTCCAAGTCCCATCAGGCCTCCGTGGGGGGCTGAGCAGGTTGGGGAGCCCTGGGGGGAGTTGGGGGGAGGGGTCCAGCCCTGTGTCCAGGAGGCGCTTAAATAAGAGAAACCACCACCTGCACAGCTGGGGACGGTTCCTCTTGTCACCCAGGCCAGGAGGAAACGTCCCCAGGTCTGCAGGGATTTCCCTCCAACTGCAGGGCCTTGGTCCAGCCCCAAAGCCGAGGCCCAGTTAAGGGTGGAGGCCATGGGAGGGGGAAACAGACCCTTATTTAGCACCTACTGTAGGCATTGATGCTGTCAGCACTCACTCTGCCCTGCAGCAGCAGGGGTATCCAGGTGTCTTGGTTCCTTGGTATTTCCAGTGTCTGCCTACCTCTTCCCCTGCAGTGGCTACTTAATAGTGTTCTTTAAATCTGTTCAGTTTTTACTCAGCCTGAACCTAAGCTATAGCATCCAGAAAACCATGCTGTTAATAAAGTCTGTTCTCTTCTAATATATGTCGGTATAAATACAGAATTATTGAGTATAAATGCACAAGGAGGGGAGGAAACAGAGGCCCAGAGAAGGCTAGCCACTTGCCCAAGGTCACAGAGGAAACTATAGAGTCTGGATTTGAGCACAGCTCCTTTCTGGACCAAGTTGTATATGGCAGCTTCTCAGAGGAAGGACAGGAGGAAGGATGTCCAGGCGTCCCACAGGCTGGGTGGACAGATTGAAAGCTTACTAAGATACAGTGCTGAGGCCAGACTGGCCCTTTCTTGGAAGGAAGAGGCAGCTTTGGCCCATGTCATCCGGGTCCCCTTGTGTTGTGCTGAAGGACTTGCCTCGACTGTGGGGATGGCTCCCGGGGGGTGCTGGCTTGGCACCGTGGCCTCTAGGCATCCCCCAAGCAGCGGGTCATAGTGACTCAGCCATCGTGATGGACCCCCCAGCCGACCCCGGGGCGTGGCAGTGGTGGCCCAGCGCGGGGCAGGACTCCGGCCGGGGCTGGTGCGAGGCCTGCAGAGAGGAGCAGACCCACAGGTCGGGTGACACCAAGCCCGGGTTAGGGGTTGCAGCTTGAGGACGGAGGAGAGGGCGGAGGGGCCCAGCGCGGTCACCAGG